AGTGGTGCGTGTTGTTGTAGGCGAACTCGGCCACGCTCAGCTTCTTGTCCCATGCGGCTGCGTCGTGCATCGTGATGCTGCGAAGAATCTGCTCCAAGGTCTGGTTCACACGCTCGGTCTGTCCGTCTGTCTTTGGATGGTACGCAGACGACATGGCTAAGCGAGTCCCAAACAGTGCGAAAAGCTGCTTCCAGAACTTCGAAGTGAAACGAGGGTTGCGGTCTGAGATGATGGAATCTGGAACCCCGTGCAGTCGGACTACGTTATCTACGAACAGCGTCGCGGCTTCCTCTGCTGTGACCTTGCCGTGCGTGGGGATGAAGTGCGCTGCTCGAGAAAACTTATCCGTGTCGTGACCCCTAACTGTGCGCGGTAAAGCCATGATGAAGTCCATCGTAACTACCTGCCAAGGGCGGTCGGGTGGTGGAATCGGCTGCAAAAGTCCTGCTTTGCGCTGGCGAGAGGACTTCGTACGCTGACACGTGTCGCACGAGCGAATGTAATCCTCTACGTCTACTGCAAGCCCTGGCCAGAAGTACGTGCGACTAAGCGTCTTAGCCGTCTTATCTGCTCCGAAGTGACCTGCGCTAACTACATCGTGCGCCTCGGAAAGAAGAAGCTGTCGAAGAGGGCGGTAGGCAGGAACCCAAATCCGTGTGGTACCCTTCCGTATGTAGACACTACCCTGCACCTCTGCTCCTGCGGGCGGCTGCGGTGTGAAGTCGGGATCTACTGTGTAACCGTGCTCGAAGAGTGCTGTGAGAAGTGGATGGCCGGCAGTGACTGTGAGACTAGCGAGCTGGCAACTAGGGCGAGTGAGCGGATCTGCTGGGTTGCGTACGCCTGGCTTGTACTCTATCCTGTAGTGGAAATTCCCCTCCATGAACTCCATCCATCTAGCCTGGCGACGACTCAGCTGCGGCTGCGATTTGAGGAAGCGAATCGAGCAATGGTCCGTGCGTATAATACTATCTGCCCCCTCTAGGTAGCACCTCCACACCTTATACGCATGGATGATCGCGAGCGCCTCCTTGTCGTGAATCGGATAGTTCAGCTCGGCCCCCCTCAGCTTACGCGACTCGTACGCGATCGGCTGCAACCCGCGCCCCTGGTCCTGAAGAAGCACTGCTCCAATGGCTCGATCTGATGCGTCGGTCACTACAACGTACGAGCGAGTGGGATCTGGGTACGACAGTGTCGGTGAAGACGTGAGCGACTGCTTCATCTGCTCGAACGCCTGCTGCTGCGCTGGACCCCAATCGAAATCTACGCCCTTCCGAAGTAGGTCGGTGAGTGGACTAGCGATCGATGCGTAACCCTGAACGAAACGACGGTAGTAATTCGCGAATCCGAGAAAGCTCTGCAACTCCTTGACTGAGGTCGGAGCTATCCAGTCCTGTACTGCTGCGATCTTCTTCGGGTCGGTCCTAATGCCACTAGCGGATACGACGTGACCTAGAAACTCAACCTCGGGGAGAAAGAACTCGCACTTCGACTGCTTAGCGTACAGCTGCTCCTTTCGCAAGACCTCGAATACCTTCTGCAAGTGCTGCACGTGCTCCTCTTTCGTCTTGGAGAAGATGAGGATGTCGTCTAGATAAACTACGACGAACGAACCTAGGAACTCGGAGAGGACGGTGTTCATAAGCATCTGAAACGTCGCTGGGGCGTTGGTCAAACCGAACGGTAGAACCCTAAACTCGTACAACCCCTGCTTCGTACGAAACGCCGTCTTGTCCTGATCCTCCGGAACTACTCGAATCTGATGATATCCTGAGCGAAGGTCGATCTTGGAGAAGACTCTAGTGCCCTGCACTGCATCCAGAAGATCCTCTACTCTCGGCACCGGGAACCTATTCTTGACGGTGGCGGCGTTCAGTGCGCGGTAATCTATGCACATCCGTAACCCTCCGTCTTTCTTAGGCGCGAAAAGGATCGGTGCTGCCCAAGGTGATCTAGATGGCTGTATGAACCCCTGCGCGAGGAAGTGCCTAACCTGCTGCGTCATCTCCTCTGTCTCCGCTGGACTCAACCTCCACTGCGGCTTCGCTACTGGTCTGCTTCCCGGCTCCAACTCTATCCGATGGTCTACTGCTCGGCTGGGAGGCAACCCTGGGGGCAACTCGTCGGGGAAGACGTCTGCGAACTCTGCTTGCACTCACCTCAGCAGGAAGAGTCGCCTTCTCACCAACTGCTGCACTCCCTCCTTTCCCCTCCTCAGCTTCCACCTCCTCAAGGAAAACCGCAAAGATCTGCGCCGCACGCTTCACTAACTGTCGCACACGAACAGCATTAATGATAGCTGTGGAGGATGTGGCCGCATCGCTCCACTGTGGCAGCTCCCGGAACTCGCCATCTACCTTGACGCTGCAGCTTCCCTGAGCCCAATCGAACTGAGTGTTAACTGTCCGTAGCCAATCCCTACCGAAGATGAAGTCGTAACCGTCCAGCGTCGCAGAATCGAAATCACGCCTAACCGTGATTGGTCCTAGCACTACGCGCAACTTGCGAATGACTGGTCCTATGTGAAGTGGCGTCCCATCTACCATGCGAGCGTCCTTGAAGTTGACTGCCGAATCTGCCTCGAGATGGAGACGACTAACTAATGAAGACGAAACGAACGAGTGGCTAGCTCCGCTATCGATGAGAATCTTGACTGGAACACCGCGAAGCTTCCCTAGAAACACGACTGGACGATCAACAGTGTCTACCTCGTTTGGCGTAGGTGACTCCACTAAGGCCGTCTCCTCTACGTTGGTAGACGTGGCGGGTTCGGAAGCGTCCACACCAGCTAGCGACCCGCTATCTACTGGCGGTTTCCGTTTCCCTGCTGCCGCTCTTTAAGCTGTGGGCAGTCCCGCTTCGTGTGTCCCGGCTTTTTGCAGTAGTGACAGTTCCCCCTAAAACCCGTTTTCTGTGAGCCGTCACTGTTAACTGCACCAATCTCCATGGGCGATGGTCCGTCCCTCGATCGAGTGTCGTTGATCGGTCTGTTGTATCCCCTATCGCGATCGTCACGACCCCGTCGGCTTCGTACTGCGTCGACGCGTTCTGCTGCTGCGACTACCGACTCGAAGGTGGACAACCCGTGAATCGCTATGATCTCCGCTATATCCGGCTTCAACCCTTCGAGGTAGCGATCGCGCATCTCTGCTTCCGTGATATCGTCTATCTCGTTGCAGATGCTCAAGAACCGTCGTGTGTACTCCTGGACGTTTCCTATCTGTCGGAAATGACGCAGACGCTTCCTAGCAGCTTCGGAGGCATTCACCAAATCGAACCTACTTTTCAGCGCCGCTTCAAATCCTTCCCATGTCGTCGGAACCGTGGTAACACCCAAAGCTAAACTCCCTAAGCTCGAAGTTGCAGCTGCATGCCTCTCGCCCTGTTGATGCTCGTCCAAATGAGCCCTTCTTACAGCAGTTTGCGTGAGTTGGCGCCACCACTCCAAGGCCGGGCCCCTCAGCAGCGTAACGGAGTACTCGATCCGCTGCTGCGCGTCCGCCTCTTGCACCCCGCTCGCGGCGAAGTAGTTGTTGATCATGAAGAGCCACGTCCGCACGTTCGTGTCGCGTTGACTTGGGTCGAACGACTCGGGTTTCTGCGGCTTGAGTGCGCTTCGACGTTCCGGCAGCGCTTCCGCGCCAGTCGACGTGTTGGGTGCAGGAGATGGTGCGGCATGACCATGAGAAATTGACGCGAATTCACGAAGCTGTTGCATTTCAGCCCGTACCTGACGATTTTCCAGCGTCAACGTTTCGAGTTGGCGCATGAGCTGAGCAAGCGTGTTGCCCATGTCGTTGGGGACAGCGGTCATGGTTTCATCCATGTCGGCTCGACGACTCCAAGTCTGCAAGTCGGCACCGCGGGACGATGACGTCGTAGTCTCGTCGTCGACGGTCGCTCGTTGGAAGTCGCTCCCCGCGAAGGGCTCTGATACCAAGTGTTAGGCCCCTTGGCCTAAATCCGCTAAAGAATAGCGGAGTCGACTAAGTCGAGGATGAAACGCGGCGGAAGACTTTGGCGAAAGGACTATTTGCGAAATACGTGAAGAAGTTACTGAGTAAAGAGTTGAATGAGAATTGATTGATATTGGGGAATACAAGCAAGGTTGATATAGCATGCGAGATCGAATGATGGAAAGTACTTCGTGGGACTAGAAAGTAGAAGCAAGAAAAGTAGAGTGCCACGTGGCACTAGGAAATCCAAGAAGATAAGGATAAGGATGGGGTTGGGAGTTACTGTGCAAAGTGAACAGTAAAACCCCCTGTAACAAAGTCAGAAGAAATCGGTTATTGGTGTAGTGATTCTCGCATCAAACAGCGGTATTTTTTTGTCTCGTTCGTCACTATGGCACCCAGTGAACCTCCGAAGTGATTCGTGAACTGTAACCCATATCGGTCTTAGAGTCCTCCTGACTGACTTCTTGGGGACATCTGGGGTCCACGCTCCAGTCCAGGCTCCCCCAGTCGGAGTTCTCCTGATTCCTGAATCCCACTTTGCCTACCGCCCCATGACAGGACTGTACAACGGGATGTACAAATCGGATCCACCCGTATTCGAGAGTCCGGACATGTAGCACCGCAGCAGAGATTGTGACTTAGGGGCCGAACATGCGCGCCGCCATCACACACCAGATCGCGGGATTCGAGGCATCGTCACTACCCCTACGATCCTCTGCTACCGCCAGCTTGATGCTCGAATAAGGTCCAGCACGCCGTGCGCGCTTGTTGGGCGTGATGCCCCGAACTCCACGGCACAGAGTGGTTTGTCATGATGGTGCTGCTCGCCGGCACATGGCCACAGAGCTGGCAGCAGCCTGCTCGATCAGTTGAGGGATTACTGCTCGCAGCCTTACTTCTTGGAGCCACCATGCTTATGAGAAGCAGGCTGGCCATTCACTGCGTCGTCAAGCCCTTGTTGTACCCCTCGTTACCACGAGCTCTAATCTCGCCACTCTTCCCTCCAGAACCTTTCCCCTTGCGATCCCGCCGTCGCGCATGATGACATCTCACGACATAATGAAGCACGCCGCGCTCAACGATGGTGCCGCGCCGTGTCGAAAGCGAGCGAGAAGCTCGTCTTTCGCGGACCATCACCATCACCACGCCGCACTCGCCGCTAGCTCCATAGTCGACCGCGCCAGTCTTTGTCGTTCCGAAGAGGCGGGAGCGACGATGCCTTGCGAGTCCGCCGTTCTTGAAGCCGCATCGCACGCTCACATCGCCGCCCCCGACCGCCGTTACTCGATCCCTGCGCTCGTACCGCCTCCAGCCTCTTTCCCAAGGTCGCGTTCACCGGCAGCTGGGGAGAACGAGTTTGCAGAGACGGGCTGCGCGCAGACGGAGAGTAGCGCCGGGTCGACATGCGCCTGTGAAGGCAGCGGACGCGGCGGTGGCGACGCTGCGAGCGCCACCTTATCCGCGGCGCACTCGCAGCAGCAGGCGCGGCGGCGGAGGTCAATGGCGGACTTGAGCGACGACCTGCTGCTGCGGATCATCCTCTGCTCGCGCCCCACCGCGTGGGACCTTTGCCGCCTCGCATGCGTGGCGCGCGCATGGAAGGCACTGTGCTACTCCGCGCCCTTCTGGCAGCGCCTGCGCGTGGAACCGCACAGCATCCGACCAGGTGCGCGCCGTCGCCACAGCGCGCCACAGAGCATGCTCTGTTCCTTCTACTCCGTATGCGCCACGCGAAAAAATCGTGTCCCAGTATCCATTGGCTGAATAGTGGTGTTGGAGAATTCCATGAAACAAGGCTCCCCAACCCCATCCCACCCCTCCAACTCCACAACGTATCTGTTTCCCCTTTTTGTCCCCTTTTTTCCCCACCCCCCGCTTCCGCGGTGCATGTGCGGCAGGCGTAGAGCAGCTGGCGGCGCGGTGCGCGGGGCTGCAGGAGCTGTACGTGGACGACCCGCTGTGCCACGTGCACCTGCTGCACCCCATCATCGCCGCCGCCGCTCACTCCCTCACGCGCCTCGTCATCAACTGCGACCCGCCCGCACCCCCCGCCGTGCCTGCTGTGCTGCTGGGGGGAGCGGCGGGGGTGCAGCACACGGGTGTGGGGGAGGGGCGCGCGGCGGAGTGGGGGGGCATGGAGGCGGAGAGTGCAGCGGGTGTGGAGGAGCTGAGAGAGGCGTCCGTGTGCAGCATGCTGTGGGTGCTCAGGTGGGCGCCATGCACGAGCTTGTGCTCCACAAGGCTGTGCGTCACACGCACACCAGCCTCCTTGTTGCTCCCTTGTCCACCTTTGCCCCGAGCTCCACCACACATGGTCACCATGGTGCGTCGCGCTGTGATGCATTGTGTCGTGTCTAAGCATTGCCCCATGCATGTACATGGACCTCTCTTCATCTCTTCCCGCCCTGTCTCCCTCTCCCCCGTGCGCCACTGCAGTGTGCACTGCACCAACGTGCACACCATTGAGCTCGTCGCCCCCACCTCCTGCCACTACTCCGCCCCTCCTCCTGCATACCAGCCCCATATCCGCCCTGCCCCTGCCCACGCGCCCACAGCCGCCCAGCAGCTCATTCCTCACCACGCGCGTGCACGCGTGCGTGAGCGGGGCGCCATGGCGGGGGCGCCGTTGGCGTTCATCGAGCTGCGCGCCCTCTGGTTCCTCACCGCCAGCTTCCGCCACGTGCGCTCCTTCGCGTGCCTGTGCCCCGCCGCCCTCTCGCGCCCCTCCATCTTCCTGCTGGTCATCGCGTGGCGCCACCACCTGGCGTCGCTGGCGCTGCACATGGGGCGCCTGGCGCTGCTGGACCTGCTGCCCCTCGCCAAGTGCACTCGCCTGCACCACCTGCACCTCGTGGCCGCCTGCCTGCACGGGCTAGCCGCTGCTGTGCTGGGCCCAGGGGCAGCAGCCGGCGAGGGGGGGGTGAGGGGCACTGGGGATGCCGGGGAGAGGGGGGTGAAGGGAGAGGGTGGAGCGGTGGTGAGGGTGGAGGGGTGGAGTGTGGGGGACAAAGACGGCGTTGAGGAGGAAGCAGGCGGGGCAGCAGCAGGGGCACGTGGGCAGTACCCGCGCGTGCTGCACCCCACGGTGCGGTCGCTGATTCTGGAGTGTGGTGCACACGAACCCCGTGACATTGCGGCACTGGCCAGCATGCTGCCTGCACTGCAGCGCCTGGAGCTCAGGAACTCATGCCACGGCTCCACTGCCGCGCCTGGTTCAGGCCTTGAACACCACTGCACACACTGCGGCGTGCCATGGGGCGCGGGCAGCAGGGGTGGGCAGGTGGGCGCGCGGGCGTATGAGGAGGAGATGATGGCGGTGCAGGCACAGCTGAGGGCCAGGGGCATGGCCGTACTCATGCACCTGTGACACGCCGCTGCCAGGAGGGCCCAGCACAGCAGCGACAGCACGCATGGTGGTGGGATGGCGTGCAGCCATGCTCTGATGCACCTGCTGTGCTGCACCACCCGTCATAGCAGTGCATTGTACAGCCTATGCTTGCCGCACCTGGTTGTAGGATGCGAGGCCACTGAATCATCCACGCTAGGGGCCTACTTCTGAGTCAATGTGCCAAAACAAAGAACCCAGAATTATTGTGACGCTAAACCTTTCAAACGATACTAGCAAACTAAGGGCCTATAGAACTACACATACAAGCAGGAAAGGGGTATGGCACATGAGATGGTTGGCATGACCTAGCTAGTGCGGTGCAGTACGGTGCTGCAGAATTAACGGTACCAATAAGTGGGACACACGAGACAAGCGACGAGGGAAGGAAGGAAGAACTAAGAGGGGGAGCATCAGTAACCTCCAGAGGGGGGGTACTGGTAAGGGTTGGGGGGCGCCATGGGTTGAGGTGCATGGGAGCCATACGCCTGGGGATGGTACCCTCCACTCCACTGCCCCTGCCCCTGCTGCTGCTGCTGCTGCTGCACTGGAGGCTGCCCATACACGGGGGCGGGCTGCCCCGTGGAGTAGTACCCAGCATGCGGTGCTGCTGCCGCCTGCTGTGGCGCTGGCATGTAGTACGGAGCAGGGGCCGCGCCACCAGGGCCGGGCGGGCCTGCTTGGCTGTAGTACCCCATTTGCCCTCCTGCATGCTGCTGCTGCTGCGGCGGCGGCTGCTGCTGCTGGGGCACGGGTGCTGCATACTGAGGGGGTTGAGCAGCAGGGGGTGCATAAGCGCCGGCAGGGGCAACAGGCTGGGGCTGTTGGGGCGGGGGCTGCTGGTTCTGGTTGTTGAAGAAGGGCAGGTGCTGCTGCAGGAACTGCAGTGGGCCCCCTCCACCCTTGGGGCTCACGGGCCGGCCCTGCCCCCCCCCTGCTGCGCCCGCCTGCTGGGGCCCCGGGTACGCACCCCCAGGGGCCATCCCCCCTGCAGGCGCTGCTACCTGCGCGGGTGGGGCTGCAGCACGAGGAGCGGGAGCGGCGGCGGCGGGGGGGGCTTGGTCGCGCAGGGAGAGGCCGGCGAGGTGGCGCTGGAGGTCGGAGATGAGGTCGGCCTTCTGCATGTTGCGCGTCATCACGTAGTCGCTGCACTGCTGCTTCAACGCCGTTATCGCATCCTGCTCCCCCCCACCGCATTGCCAGGTGGGGCGTGGGGGTACGCAAGGAGAAGACAGGTGAGCAGGCCGGGGAGGACATAGAGGGGGGGGGAGGAGGAAGACGAGTGGGGAAGAGAGGGACGACAAGTGGGGAAGAGGGGAGGGTGGGGAGAGGCGAGGGTGGGAGTGGAGGAGGAGGAGGGCACAGACCTGCAGGGCGACGTAGAACTTGAGCCCCTCGTTGAGGTTGGAGCGCAGCTCCTGGTACTTGCTCACCGCCCCCTCCATGCGCTTCACCGCCCGCGCCACCTCCGCTGCTCCCCGCACACACATGTGCGCACACACACATGTGGCAACATGGATGAGAAGGCTGCATCACGCCACATGGTGCATGGCACTGCCGCATGGGTGTACGCACAGGGCAATGAGCCAGCTCAAAAATCGCTGAGATGTTGTGAAGCGGCGGGGACAGGGCGCCATGGAAGAGGGGCGCCATGGGAGAACATGGGCGCGTGGGGGGGGATGAGTGAGGGTGAGGGCACGCACCTTTCCACTCGGGGATGTTGAAGGCCTGTGAGAACAGCTGGTACTGCGCCTGCATGGGACACCCGTGGTGCATGGCGGCACACATAGCGTGTGAGCGTGGCATGGCACACAGGGCAGCACAACAAGTCACACTGGAAGAAGCCTTCTCATCACAACACTCACCACTCCGCCATCCTACCGTCACCCATTCCAACCCCCTTATCTGCACACTGCAAACCTCCCCCGTCCCATCCCTTAAACACCCCCCAGTTCCTCCGCCCCCCAAATTTTCCCTTCCCCACTCCCCCCCCCCCTTCTCCCCCTTGCCCGCTCTCCCCCCTAGCGGACCTGGAGTTGGTGCATGGAGGAGCGCTGCTGGGCGATGTTGGCGTCCACCTGGTGGCACAGCGCGTCGTACTTGCCCGCCTCCTTCTTGAACAGCTCCTCCTGCCACCCCGGCGCGTTCATCAGCTTCGGCAGGATGTTGTCGCGCGCCCTCATCTCCCGCAGCCCCTCCTCCACCCCCGCCCTCTCCGCCCCCACCCGCTCCAACTCCGCCTGTGCGCCCGTGCACGGGGGCGGAAGGGAAGGGTGGGGGAAGGACGGGCGGGGGGGAGGTGGGAGGGTGGCATGAGTGTGCGTGTGAAGCGAATGTGGGGAGAGAGAGCAATAGGGTATGGAGAGGAGGAGGGTGGTGTGGAAAGAAGCAGGCAGGTGGGTTGGATAACAAGAAAAGAATGCAGACTGTGACAGCCATGGTGGCGAACGAGGCGAGAAAGGCAAGTGGCGGAAAAGCTTAGTGGCGAGAAGGAATGGGCGAGGAGGGGGGGTTACGAGGAGTTGGCGGATGGTGGCCACCAGCGCATGGTCGTCCCCGTGCACTGCCAGCATGGGCCGTGATATGCGCGGCAGGGCGTCCTCCACCTGCCATGCATGCTCGCACACACATGCCATGCCACACGCCATGCCACACGCCATGCCACACGCCATGCCACACGCCATGCCAGGGAGAGCTGCTGAATGGAGTGCAAGAAAGAGGGACGACGGCAACGACACACACGCGATGCTCTCCACTGCTGTGCGCCACCCCCTCTACCACCACCGCACCTTGCTGTGCCCCAGCGCGCCCAGCAGGTCGGAGCAGTCGCGCAGGTCGCGCTCGATGCGCGCGTCGCTCTCCTTGGCCTGCTTCAGGTTGCCCGCGAACGCCGTGGCGCGCTCCTTGAGGCTCTTGGTCAGCGTGCTGCTCTGCGGCCGCGCCCACCGCGACCCAAACTGCGTGCGCAGCGCGGCGTCGTCCGCGGCTTCCAGCTGCAGCGTCTCCTCGGCGGCCAGCAGCAGCTCCTCGTTGACGCGCCGCAGGTCGTGCAGCTGCGCCAGCTCCCCCGGCAGCCCCGCGGGCCCCCCGCTGACGTGCACGGCCTCCACGTCGTCGCGCAGCTTGGCGGGCACGAACGCCCCCAGGTCGCCGTCCAGCGCCACCAGCACGCCCGGCAGCCCCAGCTCGCGCAGCCGCGCCTTCGCCTCCTCGCTCTCGCGCTCCATGCGCTCCACCTGCCACGCACACACGCACGGACGGGCGGGGGGATGCGTGGGGTGGGGCGGGAAAGGGGAACGGGAGGGCAGGAATAACACGCGAGGATGAGTAGGCAGACGAAGGCAGCGACAGAGAGAGAGCAGAAGGAAGAGGGGAGGCGGCAGAGCGGGGAGAGCGGGGTAGCGGGGGGACCTGGTGGCGGATGATGCCGTCCACCATGTCGGTGTAGCGCGACAGCTCCTTGGCACTGCCGTCCGGCACCAGCCCCGCCAGCAGCCGCTCGCCCGTCGCGTCCAGCAGCGGCGCCAGCGGCGTGGCGGCCACGAGACCGGCGGCGGCGATGGGGGGAAGCGAGGCGTAGGCGGGGACGCGGTAGAGGTAGACGCGGTCGTTCTCGGCCTCGGCCTTGGCGAGGTTGGCCAGCACGTGGCCCTCCAGCTTGATCACGGCGTCCACCAGCGGCTGCATCACGCCCTTGCTGCCCTTGCGCGCCTCCGCCAGCAGCGCCTTGGCGTGCGTCAGCCGCGCGATCTCCTCCGCCACCTCCTCGCGCGCGTGCAGGTCCAGCGCGGCGCGGTACAGCGCCTCCGCGTGGAAGTGGCGCGCCTTGAACAGCACGTTCGCCACCCACTGCCGGTCGAAGTGCGCCGACAGCGGCGGCAGCAGCAGCGCCGCGTGCGCCTCCTCGTAGAACATCGCCACCTGCGGGGGGATGGACGGAGCCGCGGGGGAAAGGGAGCGCGGTTGGTGGTGTGAGGGGGAGGGAGACGCGGAGCGGACGAAACGGGGAGGGGGAGCGGAGAGAAGGAAGGGAGTGCGAAGGGCAGGGGGAGAGGACGTCAAGGAGCAGCGCTTGGGACGCGGTACTGCGCCCCGCGCACCTGCTGCGCGATGCGCGCGCAGATCTGGTTGGGCTTGCCCTCGCCCAGCGCCTTCTCGTAGAAGCACTCCTGCGCCTGCCCCAGCATCAGCCGCTCCAGCATCCCCGCCGTCTCGCCCGCAATGTCCGTCGTGCTCGTTCCGCCGCCCGCCAGCGCCTTTCCGCTGATGTGGTCGCGCAGGTACGCAAACGCGCCCGCCGCCGCCTGGAACGCGTTGCACGCCGCCTTGAGCCCCGCCGCCGTGGAGCGGTCCGCCGCCAGCGCGATCTGCGAGAGCGTGGCGGCGATGTTAAAGGCGATGGCGGCGCGCTCGAAGTGGATGTTCGTCTGGGACGCCTGGCGCTCGCAGGGGTGGGCGCAGCGAGGGCGGTGGGAGAGGAGGGGGAAAGAGAGGCGAGGGCGGGAAGAGAGCGGGGTTGGTGGTGGCAAGCCATGCGAGCGTGAGGCAACACGGAGTCACGGCCACTAGCTCACTGCCCTCTGCTCAATCATGCCCCGCCCTCCCCGCTTCCTTCCCCCTTCCCATGTCCCGACCTCCTTACCCCGACGTCTAGCCCCGCCACATCCTGCACCGCCCGCCCCTGCACCACGCGACCCCCCCGACGACCTCCCCCGGCGACCGCGAGCGCCCCAGTAGCGGCGTGCGCGCACCTTCTTGGAGCTGGCGAAGGCGTCGAACCACGTGAAGTTGAGCTGGTTGAGGTGCTGCGTGTCGGGCGCGATGGGGAAGCGCGACGACATCACCGTCAGCGCGCGCATGTACTTCTGCAGCACCTCGCGCCGCGCCTCCAGCGACTCGCTGCTGCCCTTCTCGATCTCGCGCCGCCACGCTTGGACCAGCTGGATGGCGGGGATGCACGGGTGGGCGGGGGGAAAGGGGGA